TCATGATCTCTGTGTGTATATAATGTCTGCTGCAGTTTCCATGGTATGCATCCGATGAAGTGAGCTATAATAGCTCACGAAAGCTCATGCTCAAATAAATTGGTTAGTCTCTAAGGTGCCACAAGTATTCCTTTTCTTTTTATTAATTTTTAGAATCCTTGCAGGCCCCCACTTTCTGCACTCAAGGTGCCAGAGTGGGGAATCAGCCTTGACAACATATAATCAATTTAAAATAAAAAAGATCATGTTCTCCCTTTAATCATAGTTTATGTTCCTTTTTTAGAATGAGGAACTATCAGTATATCAAGACCCCAAGATATTAATTCCACATATAACTGAGATTGTGCCTGTAACTGACTTTTCAAAAATTCATAGTTTGGGTCAAAATGTCCTTTGTTCTCAATATATTTAGCAAAATCCTAGTTACAATACTTAGCTTCCTATGGAATGTGCTATAGAAATGCTATGAAAGTGCTGTACAAAGGTTGTTTCACTATAGCACAGTGAGTAAGAGAAATGGAGGCAAAAAGATATTGTGAATTCCTCAAGATCACAATCAAGTCTGTGACAAAGGTGATAGTAGGCCTTGGTGCTCAAGTGTCCTGGGCTTTAATAACTAGATTCTACTTTCTACGATATGACTGCTTCAAAGAAAATCAGGTCAGATCAATTCAAACAAACCACAGACTTTAACAGCTCCTGCATTCACAACCCTTGCAGGGGTGGAGTTAAATATAAACATGCAGGGTAATACTCTATACCAGAGATTCTCAACCTCGGGGTCACTGCCAAGTGTCAGAGGCTTATGACCACCCTGCCCTTCCCATATTGCTAAATCGGGGAAAGGGGCCTGAGTATGGAAGAGGTTGAGAACCACTGTTCTATCCTATATAAGTACTACTGCTCAATTACGATGGAATTGCACATTATTTGAAAGCAGGGCTTCTACCAAGTGTTCATATTGCAAGAGCCAGTGCAGTTTTTCTGGACCACTCCTGCCACAGCTTTTACTTCTTTCTAAACAGAAGAGAGCCTCTTTTTGCGGGGAGATAAGATGTTAAATAGTACAGTCTCCACCCAGTGCATGCGGACTCGCTCGTATAAATCCGCATTAACAATAACAGATGTTGTGAGCTCAGCCCATGGCACGCAATGAATCTGATACCCCCTGGATTAGATATGAAGCATTTTATGTTCAACATGCCAGTGTTCTTATATGAAGTTGTTTACAAACTAATCTTTTCCTGAAGCAGTTTTGGAACTAAAATCCAGAATTGTTTTTAATATAATGTTTGTCAGACATTTTCAACAAAACTGCTCCTGTTTGTCCTTATGGCTTTGGGCAGCATCTCATACCACTGCATTCCCAACTAGCTCAATCCCCGTCTTGTTTCCTTCCTGGTTTCCTGCTTGACTGGTTCTGAAAGCCTGCGTCCCATGTTTAATTACACCATCATTATTGCTAATTCTTAATAATTTAGTATACCTTTCCACTGAATACATTTTTATATATATATATATATATATATAAAATATGAAAGAGAGACAAGAAAGATGAGATACTCACTGATTTACCAAGCTTCTTATGGATGATAACTGTCTTCGTTCTTGTGAACCATAGCGTGATTAGTCCTGTCTACATCTTCAGAAGCTCAGAAACTGCTGCTTCTCAGAAGTTTTGCAAGAATTATTACAAGAAGTAAAGGAGCAGTTCTTCTTTTTCTAAAAATGGACTTTTAGCAACAGTTTCACTTAGAACTTAATGGAAATGTTAGAGTGCTGAATTTTCAGAGTGCATGTTAAATGCAGAACTGAGGGCTTAGGTCCTCAGTCCTATAGATTCACTAGTGCAGACTCTGTATGGAGTCCTACTGACTTCACTCCACATGGGAACAGTCTGAGCTAGAACCTCTGTTTGCAGGATCAGGGCCTAGTTCCAACTTCCATTGGGGTATTCCCATTAGCTTTACTGGGAGTGGGATCAGGCTTAGGTACACAAAATCGTGTCAACTATTTTTGATTGCACTAAACACTTTTGTAGCATATTCAAAAATAAGTTGAAATATTTTGTGATGGCAGCTTGTCTACAATAGGAAATTAGGCGGGCTCAGGGTGTGAAAAGCCCACACTGCTGTGCGGCGTGGTTAAGCCGACCTAAGTTCCCGTGTAGACCGTGCTAGATCAACGGCACAATTCTTCTGTTGACCTAGCTACCGCCTCTTGGGGAGACGGATAACTACACTGATGGGCGAACGCTTCCCCTCAGCGTAAGTAGTGTCTATGCTGAAGCTACAGTGGCACAGCTTCAGCACTGCAGTTGTGCTGCTCTAGCATTTCAAGCGTAGACGAGCCCAGAGTGAAATTCAAAAAATACGACTAGGGCCTGCCTCCAGTGTTTGGTGCCTCCCTTCAAGAAAGATGTGGACAAATTGGAGACAGTCTAGAGAAGAGAAACACAAATGATAAAAGGGTTTAGAAAATATGACCGATGAAGAAAGACTAAGAGGACTGGACATGTTTGGCCTTGGGAAAAGAAGACCGAGGGGGACCCTCATGCCAGTCTTCAAATAGGTTAAGGGCTCTTACAAAGAGGATGGTGATCCATTGTTCTCCACGTCCACTGAAGGTGGGACAAGAAGCAATGGGCTTAACCTGCAGCAAGGAAGATTTACTTTAGATATTAGGAAAAACTTTTAACTATAAGGGTAGTTAAGTTCTGGAATACGCTTCCAAGCGAGGTTTTGGCATCCCTTTTCTTGGAGGTTTTTCAGACCAGGTTAGACAAACACTTGTTAGGGATGGTCTAGGTTTACTTGGTCCTGCCTCAATGCAGGGGGCTGGACTTGATGACGTCTCAAAGTCCCTTCCAATTCTACATTTCTATGATTCTATATAGAAAACACCTTCACAAACAATCACAGGCAATTCCAAATCTCACAGGTGTCAATGAGCTTTTCCTCAGAAAGGGAAGGACTTTGTTTATCAAGATGAAAAAAGTAGGAAAGATGAAAGAAAAGGGGCTTGTCTCTTTCTAGAAACATAGGAATTGCCAGTCTGGATCAGACCCATGGTCTGTCTAGTCAAGTATCCTGTCTCCAGTAGTGGCCAGCACCGGCTGCTTCAGAGGAAGCTGCAAGAAAGCCTTGTAGTGGGCAATTGAGGAGAAGCCTGCCCATGGGTAAAATTTCTTCCTAAACCCCAATAATTACAGCATGGCTTATGTCCTGCAGCTAAGAGTTTATATCCCTTCCAAAACTGTTGTTTTTGTTGTTTTAATGATTAAGCTTTGTAATCCGAGATCACAGTGAAATAAACATACAGACCTGTGTTTTTCCCAGTAACCACACCAGTTTGTGATATGTATGATACAATATGTGATCAGAGACCTATCAGTATAGATCATAGTTCTATAGATCTATCAATATGATCATCGATCCGTCAGGATAGATCTCTCTAGTTATCACTAATGCAGTTTATCATCTGAGACCGCGAATGTCAAATGACAGGAATCCAGGAAGGAGCCTAGTGAGGAGGGCTGTGCACTAGAAACTGTAGGGTCTGGGTGGGGCCTGAAACTCTTATCTGTCTTTTTGGCTATCTTGAAAACAAAAAAAATGCAAATTGCCACATGGATTTTCTGTTAGATTTCCTGTGCGCTTGTTCCATTTCCAACCACAGTTTCTCTCTCCTGCATCCTGGAGGACAGTAGAGACTGAGCGCAGTTCTCCTGTCAGTCCTCCCTTCTCTTGCCCAGCCAACATGGAGCTGCTTGTGGAGTGAGAACAAGGAGGGGAAGAAGTAAGTAGCTGCAGTTGCCAGCAGTTATCTCAGGGTTTAGCCGCAGCTGTCGGGAGCGGCATCCTCAACAGCTCTGTGAGCTCTCCGTGCTGTGCTGAGGAATGTCAAAGCAAAAGCAGCACGGCAGCCCCCCAGCTCCTCGCAGCAGCAGTCTGCCTGCGGCTGTGTTCCCAGTGCAGGGGAGAAGAGAAGGATTGCACCCTAATGATTTGCTCTTTGCTGCTCAAGCTGAGGAGCAGGTTCAGCTGTCAGAACTTCCTGGAGCTTTGAAAGGGGAGGGGCGCATGTCTGCAGCCAGGTGCAGGGCAGTCGAGTTCAAAACAGTGAGCAGAGCGGGCACAGCAGGCATTGTGGGATACTGGGGGAGGCCAGTTATGTCGACATAATGAACGGCAGCATCTACACTGGCGCTTTGTCACTTTAACTTTGCTGCAAAAAGCTCTTTGCCTCTCGTCAAGGTGGTTTTATTTTGTCGGCAAAGCGGCCAAAAATAGCTTTGTAGTGTGTACACCTCCACTGTTTTGTTGGCAAAAGCTGCCTTTTGCTGACAAAATTGTGTCCTGCAGACAAGGCCTAAGGAGGCATCGAGGGCAGGCAGGGCAATGGTGGGGGCAAGGAGTGGAGCATGGAGAGGGATGTAGGACAACAGACACGTCTCCATGTTAAATTGTAAATGCTTAGTACTTTCTAGATATAAAACTTTAAGGGCCAGATTCTCTGGTTGGCTAAAGTCACTTTATACCTCCTAAGCAGCACCAAGAGATCGTACAGTGGTCAAAGTTGGCTTGTGGGAGAATCCAGCCTGTTCCCCAGTGCTAGACAATATTTCCTCACTCACTTGCACCCGCCTTGATTTTTTAAAACCACCAAAACTGATATTTGCTCCTGAAAATATGAAAAAAAAGTGTTTTCAAAGGTCAAAGTGCCAAATCCCTCCTCAAGCTTCTTGGTGCACAGGATCTGCACCAGCTGCAACATCTTTTAGCATAGCCCAGCAGGTTTCATTTCTCTGTGGGCTGGTGTGGGGGAAGGGTTCTGGTCCATGACTCCACTTCCTCTCCACTCCCTTTGTGGCTTTGTGCATTCCCTTGGTGTCCGTGTAAGAAGCAATCCCTGCCCTTTCCCAGAGATCAGAGCTGAAGCCCCTTTTCCTCAAAGACGATAAGAAATATGCAATATATGTAGATTTTCAAACAATGATTTTATAAACACCTTTTAGGAACAGGTAAAGATAAAGAAGCAGAATAACCATAGCAGAAGAATTCACAGCACAATAAAAATGGAAATGGAGAACTCAGTTTAACTGAAATAGACATTTCACTATAACACCTCATTATGATAAAAATCAGCCTGATTGACCTATATTTTTCTCTTACTACATCTCAGTAATGTCTTTATAATCTGTGCATAGCAGATGATCATAATGACCAGTGGAATGACAAGTCCCAGGAGGTTCATCTTTAAGATCAGGAATTGCCTCCATTTTGTTTCATGGCCTGATGGATTATGAGAGCTGTAGGTCCAATAAACGCTTTCCTTTTGAACAGTGTGAAATATTAAACCTGGAAGAGAGGCTAATATTGCAACACCCCAAATGACAACACTTCTGAGGATGCCATAGGTAACTGTCCTAGCTTTTATAGTAAACGCTGCATGGACAATTGCCAGATATCTGTCTATTGTCAAAAGTATTATGGAAAAGTTTCCACTGCAGAAACCAGTGTCGAGCACTCGAACCCCAGACGGGCACGGTTCGTTGTCTTACTGGAGAGAGACAGGCAACACCAGCAAGGTCCGAACTCAAAGCTCTTTATTGAAGAGTGCACACAACAATAGAGAGCAGCCCGTCTCCAGAGAGAACCAGCAGCCTCTAAGTAAAACTCATAAGTTTTTATAGACAGTCCCGTCGCGGCACAGATTTATTCATAAAGCATCCCACCCCTCCCCTATGTTAGTTAAAATCCTCTTTCTCTATATGCATGCACATCTACCCACTTTATTGTAGATAACTTTTAGCAAATCGTAGTGCTTCACTAATTTTCTTAACGGTATGGGTGTCAACCAGGAGACGAGGAGTTAAAACAGACATAACACAAGAGCAGGGAGTGGAAAACAGCGCCTCTGTATCTCAAGGACTGATCCCAGTACATCTGGTACAAAAATGCAGGAATGCAGGCCTTCCCTTTTTTCTCACTCTGTGTAACTTAAAGATATATTCCTTCATTCTACTTTCAGAGACTTTCCCAGCAGCCTCTCTTAGCCTGACTTTGGTTCAGTTGGCATAACTGCCTCCTATTTAGCTTTTCTCACCTAACACCAGCATAATGGACCCCTGAAAGAATTTCCCAGATCCCACTCATGTGCTGCATAGTAAGCCCAAAATGGCAGGGAAAGAATAAAGAGTAAATTGGAATTTGCCAGATTCAGCAAATAGATGTCAGTCATGCTTCTCAGCCCCTTGTGTTTTATCAGGATCAGCACAACCAGAACATTGCCCACCAGGCCAAATATCAGCACCAAGGAGTAAATAGGTGGCAGAAACAGGGATGCAAATTGTTTGACATCGTTTGTACATGGTGTTGCATGATCATGACTGTAGTTCTGTGTTGTTGTCAGTATCTCCATCTCTTCTTCACTGAGAAACTGCTGATCTTTCACTCGCCTTAGGATGAAGAAATGGATGGTTCTTTACAGGATACTGTGTGTTATCAGTGTGAAAGACAGGATATACACACTATCCTGTGAAATCATATGGTTGTGAAAGACATTAAAATATACTGTGTATGTTGAGTTTCAGCTTAGAATACCTTTTGCTGTAAACAGTAGAATAACTGCTGATATCAAGATGTGAAAAATACTGCAGATGACACGAGCAAAGACTCTAGAGAGTTAACAGGGTGAGTTCTGTGCAGTTCCTCCAGTATTAACTTCCTTGCCTGGGGAGCACCAGACATATTCGAGTGGACTGCTCAGCTTCAGGCAGACAACCAAGCCCGGTAGGCCCACGTCGTTCATCTGACCTTGGAGAACCAGCTATTGCAGGAGCAAGTAACACTGTTGTAAGAGCCTCCCCCGTATTTTGGTCTTGACTGGAACGTGCCCGGAGCCCTGCCAAAGGGCTCCCCAGTTGCAGCTGCCAATCCAATTGCACATACCTGGCACACCCCAGCAAATTCCCGTCCTACCGGCCCTCCTTGCCTTGGGCACAGCTAGAATGCCTATAGCATCATGACCTTTATGTCAAGCTCGAGAAATGTGCCTTCGATCAGGCCTCTGTGGAGTTCTGGGCCTTCATCTTACCTCCAGAAGGGATCCAGATGGACCCATGCAAGGTCCAAGCCATCCAGGACTGGCTGATTCCCTATATGGTATGTGACCTGCAACGCTTCCTGGGATTCAACAATGGTTTATCCTGATTTTTTCAAAATAGATCGAACCCCACACAGCTCTCCTTCAGAAAAATGCCCAATGCCATTGGTCTCTCAAGGCTGAGCATGCAGGCAAACAGCTAAACCTCGCCTTTACTACAACACAATATTGGCTCACTCCAATGTCACACAAGCCTTTACTGTAGAAGCTGATTTTCCTGTGCAGTGATCGGGGCTGTCCTCTCCCAGCGACTTGGTCCCAAGCAGTCGCATGGGCTAACACTCATTACTCAAGGAAGTTCACCCCCACAGAGTTAAATTGTGAAATACTTGACAAGGAACTCCTGGCAATAAAAACCGCCTTTGAAGAATGATGTCACTGCCTGGAAGGAGCTCGTCACCTGGTCCAGGTATTCACTGACCATAAAAATCTGGAATATCTACATAAAGCAAAGGACTTAATCCAACAGCAGCTTTGGTGGGACCTACACAATTGGATTTCCTTATCACATACCGCCCTGAATCCCAAAATGGCAAGGTAGATGCCCTGTCCTATGGTACTAACCTGCCAGGACCCAACTCCCATTCTCAAATCCCGTAACTTTCTCAGTGCAGCTCGTCACCAAGATATACTAAGTTTTTAATACCCATTGCCTCTGCTTCAGGAAATCTGCCTGATGAACAAGCTGTTATCAACACGCAACTGCATGACTCCTGGGAAGGGATCATGTATGTAAGGGAATGCATCTATGTTCCCACAGGACTCACAAGAGTTGCAGTCCTATAACTATGCCATGATTTTCCCCTAGCAGAACACTTGGGGCTCTTCAAGACCTAGTAACTAATATGCTGCTCCTTTTAGTGGCCCCGGATGCATCCAACAATACAGTCATTTATTGCCTCCTGTGATGTTTGTGCCACACCAAAACCCCATGCCACAAGCCCTATGGCCCTTGGGCAGCCATTGCTGTAGACCTCATTGTAGAATTACCAGAGTCCAAAAAATTTATAACAGTTTTGATTGGTGGTGGTCCACTTTTCCAAAATGGCCTACTGTGATGCTGGTAAACCAGGTGCCAGACCTTGCCAAGTCTGTAGGCATGAGCTCAGCAATGACAAACTCATAGCTGGAAACCAGTTCAGTTCACCTATATGTTAATATTGTTGAAGATAGTTGCTAGATGTGTAAGGATGTGTTTAGTGTTCCAGTGGTTCTCAACCTGTGGCCCAATCAGCACACAGCTGCGGCCCATGTGACATCCTCAGGGCCATACAGCTAGTATTGGATGCTTCCCCTGAGGCCCACAATGGTAAATAGGTTGAGAACCACTAGTTTTATATTCTAAAATACTTGTAAGTTGCTGCATGCATTAATCTTACTTGTAATATCTGTTTTCCACCCTACGAGGTAAAATATAAGTTTGTTTTATAATTGTAAAAATCCCTGCTCTGAACTTGTGATCACAGATGGGAAAAGTGGCTCTCCCTGCCCATTCAGGAGGACTATTAAAATTAAATGGGTCATCATAGGACAATTGCCCCATCCACCCATGGAGAGAAGTATGTGCAGAAGGCCTCATGGCATTGGTTTTAATGCTGGAAGAGGGAAATAAAAATAGCTAACAATGAAGATTTGTCATCTCTCTGCTGTCTGGACTTTTACAAAGGCTGGAGCTAAGAAACAAAAAGCAGCAACCCCTAGGATCTGTCTGGGTTAAGCCCTAAAAAGACATTCAATGCTGACAGATTACTACATCTCTGTCATCTTTTGAATCAGACTGAAATTCATTTGTGTATATGTCACTTGCTTTAACCTGTAAATACCTCTCACTTCTTTCTTCTAGTTAATAAACTTTTAGTTAGTCTCTTACAGGATTGGCTACAGAGGTTGTCTTTGGTGTGAGATCTAAGGTACAAATTGATCTGGGCTAGCGACTGGTCTCTTGGGACTGGGAGCAACCAGAATATTTTGTGATTTTTTTTTTGTGTGTGTGTGTAAGTGACCACTTATCACTAAGTCCAGCTTGCATGGGTGGCAAAATAGACTGGAGAGCCCCAGGGGATTGTCTGTGACTCCATGGTAAGACTGTTACAGTGATCTAGGAGTTTCCCCCTACTGTTACTCACACCTTCTTGTCAACTGTTTGAAATGGGCCATCCTGCTTATCACTACAAAAGTTTTTTTTCTCCTGCTGATAATAGCCCACCTTAATCGATTAGTCTCTTTAGAGATGGTATGGCAACCCCCATTTTTTCATGTTCTGTGTGTGTGTGTGTGTGTGTGTGTGTAAATATATATATATTTTTTCCTACTGTATTTTCCACTGCATGCATCTGATGAAGTGGGCTTTAGCCCACGAAAGCTTATGCTCAAAGAAATTTGTTAGTCTCTAAGGTGCCACAAGTACTCCTTTGTTCTTTTTCCAGACAGCATGACACCCACCTCATCCCTTGCACAGGCCTCCTCTCTGCTGAAGAGACAGCATGGATTAGCCATGTAGTCCACCTCTACAGACTTCTGGAGCACATTACTTCCGATCGGGGGTCTTAATTCACAGCCCAGTTCTGCACCTGCTGGGGGTCCACACATCTTTCTTCTGCTTACCATCCCCAGTCCAACAGTCAAATGGAAAGGGACAACCAAATCATCAAGCAGTATCTGCAATGTTCCCTCAGTAATCACCAGGATTATTGGTCTTCACTTCTCCTTTACAAGGAGTTTGCATACAACAACATAGACTTTGCATCTATGGGTCAAAGTCCCTTTTTTGCCAACTATGGGTACCACCCTCAATTCCACCCACAATTACCCGCATCCTCTCTCGACCCGGCTGCCTCAGACCTAATACAGCAGTTTCATCAGGCCCAGAAAGAAGTGAAGGATCACTTAGAAATAGCAAAAGCAGACTATAAATGGTATGTGGACCAGCATGGACAGCAAGTCCCCATCTACTCAGTGGGACAAAAGGTATGGCTCTCCACAGAGCATCTCCACACAGGCAGACCTGCTCGCAAGATAGAGTTTTGATTTCTTGGTCCTTTTAAAACTCTGCAGAAGGTTAATCCAGTCATGTCTGAACTACAATTCTCCCACTCTCTGAAGGGTCACCTGGTGTTTCATGTATCACTTTTGAAACCTACACAGAAATCCCTTCTCCTCACAGGACCCAGCTACCTCTGCCACTGGTAGAGGACCAGGGTCACAAGGAATATGTGTTCCATGAAATCCTGGACTCTAAACATAAACGTGGCAGGCTCTGGAATCTTGTTGACTGGGAGGGATATGGTCCTGAGGAGCACACCTGGGAACCTGTGGAAAATATACATGCCCCCGCACTTGTTAAAGCATTCCATAGCAATCACCCTGAGAAGCCTCGTCCCACATCACCCTGAGGGCATCACTTGGGGAGGGGGATGATGAACCCTGGTCCACAGGGCTCTTAGGAGCTAGTAAGTTCCAACCGGCCATCCAGTGACCTACTAACAGTTGCCAGAATAGAAGCTGAACACCAACAGAGGACTCCAGTCCTGGAATCTGATTGGCAGAATGCTGGGGGTCCTGATTGATTCACAGCTTCTATATGAACTCAGCACAGGAACAGGAAGTTGTCCATTCAACTGGGTTCTCCTTGCATTAGACTGCGTGCTTCCCTTGCAATACCTGCTACTGATCTCATGGTAACCTCACCCTGCCTGCCTCCTGACACCTGACTCTCGGTTTGCCCTCTAGCCTGTCTTGAACTCTGACCTAGCCTGCCTCTTGCTGCGACCACTGACCACTACATGGTCAGACTGCCCACATCCTGGTCATGACACAGGCCCATTCTGTGCACTGAAAGTGTCAGGGTCCTGTGGCCCCACCCCTTTCTGCCCCATCCCTGGGGCATGTCCCTGTTCTACCCAGGGTCCCCAAATTCTGCCCCCACCCCCTGTGGCTCCCAACCCATTTGCTCCTTCCTCCCCTCACCCTACTGCAGCCCCAAGACTGGAGAAGCCCTGTCCCTGTGCCATGGCCTTGAGGCTGCAGCGGGGGTAAGAGCTCCAGTTCCAGGGCCACAGCAGGGGTCCAGGTGCTGAGGCTTCCCCTGCCATCCTCCGTGCTTCTGCAGGGGACCAGGGTCAGAGTGCTGGGGCTTCTCCTGCCCTGCCCGCCCCATGGCTTCTGCCAGGGATGGGGTTGGGGGGCACTGGGTCTTCCCCGTCCTGTGGCTTCTGATGGGGACAGAGTCAGGAGGTCGGAGTGCTGGGGCTATCCCC